ATACAAAGGTAATGAACTCTGTCATTGAAACGAGTATATTTGTATAGATGGTCTTTTGCCAATCTTCTCACTGATTGTACTGTTTCTCTTCTTTTATATGTACTTCTACTAAAACCATTACATTACCTTTAACAGAGTGAGCAGAAATGGAATAATAGAATAAGGGAAGAAAAACCCAAAGGTCTTGCATTGTATCATCCCTGTAAGTATCAAAAATGAGGTCATTTTTCTGAGTCGGGTTAAGAATTCACAAATCCTCTCTGATATGATATTATTGCTATGAAATTTTTATGTAAATGTCATAGCAAAGGATGGTGTTGTTACCAAGACCTAGGGTTTGAGATTGAAATTTCCTGTTGATGAGATCATCAGTGCTATCTGCTCTCAGAGCTGATATTGTCACAGCATTGTCCTTTATCTTTACTTGCAGTCAGAGCCTACAGGACTGCTGTAGTGATGTCTGGCTAAACTTTCATCAATGTTTGTTGCAGTAAATTTACTCCCTTTGTCTCCTAAGTGGGGATGAGGCTTGGGAAATAGGGTCCAGCCCTTTGCCTGCATCCATGGAAATTTACCTTATCTATCTTGGAAATTTTGTCTCTTTTCCAGGCTTTTTATCTGCAACTGGGAAGAGTTAGACCTTTACACCTCTTGAAAATGAGATCTTGTATAGCTCTTTTTTTCTTTATCTGTTCATTTTATTGAAGAGAATATTTACATTATAACTCCACTTGAGCTCAGAATGTCCAGGATGACCTGTTCCCTACATCCTAAGATGAAAGATGATTTTAATTCTTGTTTTCTTGTTATTACTTCTGTTGTATCCTCTCTATTTTGTTTGAATGCAATAGGTTCTGTCTACAACCACGATTTTATTGTCTAAGTCTGGTGCAATGTGCTTACACACAACTTTACAGTGCTCAGTAATGCCATGGGAGAAATGTGAATTATGCCTTACCAGTGACTCTAAAACATACTTGAAAAGAACAGCAAGAAAAGAGAGACAAATCAAATGTCTGTCTGCTGGGAAGGAGACAGTTTCAGTTCCATCATGCAGGCTGTTTAAAATGACCTTCCCAAGGTCAGCCAGGACAGCAGTTTCATTTGTAGGGAATTAAAGGCAGAACTAACCGTGTCTTTGATCAGAAGATTGCCTATCAAAAAGAGGAGCTCTTTGCTTCTTTACCTCAAGTCTGTCATATCCTTACATGAAGCAGAGAGAAAGGATGTTTCATTCCATTTAACAAGCGGCAGCAGGCAGTCTGAATTGGTAGATTTAGTTTTAAGTAAGGTTTTGACAGCCCATGTGTAGCCTAAGCACTGCAGCTCAAAGGGTGAAGTTTGAGCCGGATGAATCAATCTGTATTTCACTAACAACAAAAAGCGTGGCTCTACTCCCTTGTGGTTTGCTTATCTTGCCCCTTTTGCTACCTTTTGTCTGCTCCTGGGATTTTTTTCTCACCCAGCAGAACAAGCTGTGATTACGAGAGCTGCTGATCCGGTGTCCCTGCTCCATTGTCTGCCTCCTCCTACACCAGCAGCACAACAGCACAGCTTCCCCACACCTCTGGTGTGTGCTTGGCAGGGGGAAACCAAAACACGGATAAGCACTGTGCTGCAAGCCAGGACTACGTGACTGGTGTAACCCCCTCCTCACAGGAGTCCTGCTAAAGGGTCTGTTCTCAGGCACCGACTCTGCCTCAGAAACCCTCTCCAGTCTGGGACCAGCACGTGTGCAACGCTGATGACCCCATTACATGGGATGCCTGCATCCCCCATCCCAAACCCTGACACACGCAGCCTCCGGTATGGGCAGGTTACAGAAGCTGAAGCATCTGCCTGAGACAGAGCTCAGTTTCCATTCTCATTCCTGCAGGCAGTAGGATGCACAGCACTGCCAGCCATTAGGATATATCTCCCTGTAAACAACTGGGGAAGATAATTTCTAAAAAGTAAGGATTCAAATTTAAATCACATCAGTCAAAATGGACTAAGCCTTGTACAGAAAATCTCTTTCAGCATTACCATAATTTGGGTCCATGTTTTCCCACACAAAGAAATCCTTTATTCTTCCCTCTATCTGCAAACAGCTTACAAAATTTATCATAGATACCTGATAAAACCAGCTTACAAAATTTGTCATAGGTGCCTGATAAAACAAGAAACATGGGCAAATTAAGCAGATTTTTAAAATGGTGGTTTAGTATTTGAATATGCTCCTTCCATTTGGTTATTTCCCGTTATTATTTATGGCATTTTAAAGACGACATGGTATAATACAGGGTCAGCTTTCCTCTGTAATAACAATTCTACAGCAGATTCGTTACTCATGCATGTGCCCTCTCTCTCCTGGCTAACGCTCATTTTCAAATCATCATCTAATTTTCTATGCCTTTTAGCATGGAATCTTTTCAGTTAGCAAGGTTGTTGATAGATTGCAGTCTTGCCATTAAGTTTAATACCAACCTCTGGTATGGGGGGTAGTCCATCAAGATTAAAAACACCATGGGAAGAAAATGCATCCAAACAGACAGCAAGTATCCCTTCAGCCTCTAGGCAGAGTGCTTAAAAGCCCCAGTGTTTCTCTTCCTCTGTCAGGATTTCGTGCACAGTAATAACCTCTGGCAAGGTTTTTGCATTCTCACTGGATTGTATGTTGAAAACAATACAGATCCACTTAAAATTGTTCTCTGTGTTATTTTTAAAATCAGTTTTATTGAAACTGTCTGTGTGGTGGCATTCAAGTCTGGCATATTACAGTGTGATTAGTTCTGCCAATGCATTGATCTGCAGTACAATTCCTATTTTTATCCCTGCTGTTTGAAGTATAGTCAGTCATGACCACATTTCCATTAAAGACTACACGCTGAACCAGTTTAATCTGTGACTAATAAAATAATCGTAACATTTTCATTAAATCCTCAGCCAGTCTGAGCACCATCATCAGTGCTGGCAGAGTAGTGATTTTCTGTTTCTTGAGCGATGCATCTGCCATTGTCAGTGATCTACACTGATTACACAGCCAACGTTTTCCTTCACTCCCAAGTAATGTGTACTCAGAATTAGTGTCCCAGTTATGTCTGACCTATGTGTGAATTTATAATTCAACTGGCAGAGAGAGAACACTATAATTAGTAGAATGTCAATGGAATAAGCAACAGATCCAAGAAATAGGAACCAGTAACCCCTTGACATGGATAGGGTCTGAGGAGAGAAACCTGTGTTCTCTTAGCTCAAGATGCAGAGATCCATACAAAAGTTTTAGCATTGCTATTTCCTTTGTAGAGGGCAAAAAGTGCATGTTTCCGTAAACTTATGGGGAAAAAACCTTGCCAAAATGAAGATATTATTAATTCAGATTTAATTCCTGCCTGCTCCAGGAATAAGAAGTTCAATTACCCGATTATATAGTTACCTATATACTTATTGCAGGGCTGCTTTGTCGTTCTGTGGAAAAGGTGAGTGATGTTCTGTGGGGAAGCAGGCCTCACTAGTGAAGGAGGCTTCTGTCTGCAAAAGCATCCCTTGCCAATTTGTTACAATAAGCATAGGAATGGATGTGTGGAAGTTCAGCTGTGAGGAAGGGACATGCCTGCAGCTCTCAAGAGTGAGAGTGCTTCTCTGCTGCGTTGTCCCAATGGGGACACGGTACAGGTTTGGAAACTCAGGTGAGCTTAAACATCTGTTTTTAATACACAGGAAAAGAAAAATCAGGTAAACAAGGTAACAGGAAAGGGTAAAGAAACACCAAGCAGAAGTTGATGCAGAATAAGAGGCAGATTAATAAGAGGCAGATTAATAAGAGGCAGATTTAAAACTGAATAGCAGACAGGAAAATGCTAGTGGGCAATTGGAAGGCTTTTAGTGCAGTCAGACATCCCGTGTCCCAGTGCTTGCGTGAGGTCTGGGCAGAGCAGCCAAAGTCTGCTTGGGCATACCCTGACATGGCAAAGATCAGCCACGATCTTTGGAAAAGGAAGAAAATGCCAGACCTAAGGTACAGAAGTGACCTTAATTTTGCTCTTGTTGTATATGCTTTATGATGGCAACAGTCAAATACCACTTTTTTTTCTCCTTTTTCCTGAGGCCTAAGCTTTTCTCAGTGGCCTGGCTGAGTGTTGCGTTCAACCATCCCACATGCTTAATGATCGACTTAAGTATTCAGTTTTTACCTTGTTTGTTGAACAGCTCTGTGTATCAGCAGCATCTGACTTAAGTATTCAGTTTTTACCTTGTTGTTTGTTGAACAGCTCTGTGTATCAGCATCACAAAGCAAAAGAGGCCTAGCAAAGCTCTCAAACTGGAGCACAAGTCCTGTGAGGAGCGGCTGAGGGAGCTGGGATTGTTTCTCTGGGAGAAAAGAAGGCTTGGGATGACCATATCACTCTAAAACTGCCTGAAAGGAGGGTGTAGCCAAATGAGGGTCAGTCTCTTCTCCCAGACAACCAGCAACACAAGAGGACAGTTGCTGGTTGGGGACATTTAGTTTGGACACCAGGAGGACTTTCTTCACAGAAACGGTAGTTTGGAAAGGGGTGCCCAGGGAGGTGGTGGGGTCGCTGGAGGAGTTTAAGGAATGACTGGATGGGGCACTCAGGGCTAGGTCTAGCTGACCATGGTGGTGGTCGGTCATAGGTGGGACTCGATGAACTCAGGGGTCTTTTCCCAATGCAATTGATTCTGTGATTCTGTTCGGGGCTCTTGTAAATAACGCTTGGTTTAACCTCAGGAGAGCAGGGACGGGGTAACCACCATTCCCGTTACTGGGTTGGCGGTGCCCAGAGCCCGACTGAGAAAGCGCTGCCAGGGACAGGTGAGCCCCAGACTCTGGAAGCACCAAGGGTGACCAGCACTTCCCGCCGCCGGCTCCCGCACAAACCGAGCGGCGGCCGGGCACGGAGCGCGCGCACCGGGATCGCGCCGGCACCGGCCGTTCCCATGGCGGGAAAGGGCGGGCCGGCCGCGGGGCCGCCCCCTTGTCCCGGGCTGAACCGCGCNCGGCGGCGGTGCGGGGACCGGCCCGGGGGGCGCCGAGGGGCGGCGAGGCGGTGGCTCCATGTGAGAGGAGGCGGCGGCGCACCTGATCCGCCGCCGGGACAGCCGCAGCCGGGGGGATTCCTCGAGGGCCACCGGTCCGCAGCCCGCCCGGGGCGGGGGGGGGCTGGACCCGCCTGCCCCTTTGAAGTCACCCGGCCCCCGGCGGCAGCCCCGGGGCGGGGGGGGCAGCGGACCCCCTCCCGCCGGGGGAGGGGGGCTCCGCCTCGCCGCCCGCATCGCCCCGCCGGCGGGAAGGCGCGCGCGCCGCGAGCGGAGGGAGAGCCCAGCGGAGCCCGTCCCGAAAAGTGAGTGCGAGCGGGAGGAGCCGCCTTGGGAAGGGGCTGGGTGCCCCGGGACTGCCGGCGGCGCGGGCGGGGGGCCGGGGCGGGGGGCGCGGC